AATTGAAGCCAATTGTATGCAAATGAGAGTCCGTTGACAACCCATTACAACACATTCACCACACATTCACTGCAACCCAATACTAGCTCTGTCTGTAGTGTCCGCACAAACCTCTATGCACTCACTGAATGTGATGTATGTGTGCTATAACTGCATTGGACTGTATTGTGTGCTACTATTGGGCTCTCATTTGTGTGAAGCAATTCACATCAAATCGCATTCAAATCTATTGCACTAATCGTAATCATATTATAGTTATAGTTAGTATTACCGTAATAATGAGCTAATTATAGGCTGTCTATAGCCATGTATGTCCTTCAAAGACCACTCAATACAGCGAAACAACTTTTTATTCATTTGTTGGAAAAGTTTGTAAAAATATAAAGAATATAAGAATAATATGGGAAAGGGATGGGAGGTATGGGATGGGAGGCACACATACGAGCACTGAATTCAAGAGGGGATCATAATATGATATAACAGTATTAGAGTACTATATCATAGAATACCTGCATTTCAATAGGAAATACAGTTATAATGATCAGTAATATTGAAATACTATATTCAAGTGAATCTATCGTCGAAATATTTGCTCATTAGTGATAAATTGTTGATTGATACTAATAATTAAGTGTTTCAATAATTAACTTGATATAATATTTAGTTCGTATCAACTATTTTATCAAATTTGGTAACTTTTGAACTTTTTAAACATTTGTGATAACAATCTGTGCAACTATTTATATACAGACATAAATGATATTTATTCTAAAAAGTAATTGATATATATTTGGTGTAAATTTTGATTAGTTGTACTTTAGAGCAGAGATTGTGGTTTAAATTATTGTACAAATTGTTCATACGTGTATATTATTATACAATAAAAAAATTTTTTATTTTTGACAACTCATGTAGCACTGATACTTTTGTGAACATATTTATAATAGAATATAAATTACTAAAATTGTTTTCATATATTAAAATAATTGAATTAATACAATTGTAACCGTATCTAAATACTTAACTTGATATATTGTATTTAAATATAATTTTGTATGGATTTAAATCTTATAAAATATATAATGAAATGAATGTATGATATGATGGGTTGAGTTAACAGTGAGACTGAATGGGATGTGTCACCGATTCCGTCACAAATGTCATAGACTTGTCATTTGTATGCAAACTATTCAATCATTGCATATACTGTATGCCATACAATCAGTTATTTGCTCTAAAGTTTAGACTCTAAACAATGATTGTGATATATTTAATTAATATAAGTGCAAAACATAACTACAGTATTAATAAAAGTGTTGTCAATATTGAGAACAGAATTTGAATCATTGTTTGAAAGGATGTCTGATTTGATATAAAAACCAAGTTGTAGTGATTTTATGAAATGATAGGCTTTGAAATTCAAGAATTTGCTAACAAATGACTTTTCATTTGAAACATTTCATTTGATAGACACTAACTTTAGATATGTTCACACATTGTGTGCTTATATTGTTTCATATTGAAAAGCAATTCACACGAATATATTTGAAATGCATTTATCACTAGTTTTCCAGTCGTGTCATGCAATGAGTATTCCTTTTAAGTTTCATATGATATGCAGTTTACCTCCAAATAATCAAAGGGTGGACTATGTTTACCGCTATATCTCTATTAAATACTTTATTTCATTATTCTACATATTTCTTGTTTATTCTAATCTAATGATAATCTACAGTCAAAATAATAGTTTCCTAATAATTGACATTTCAGATCATAATGTATAAATTTGGCATAATTGTGTGCCTAATGTTGTTAATTTAATTTACAAAACAATAAAAGCGTCACTTAAATGAATTCAACATTTACCATAAATTCAATATAATTGCAATCATATAAGAGAAATATAACTCAAATGAATGGTATGAAAGCATTCTTTTAAAATGAACACCACTTTTATGATAATTGGTGTGAAATTATGTTGAGATAACCTCTTACGGAACTTACGTCAAACGGATTGCACATTGAATTTAAAGAGTAAACATTTCACTAATTATTATTAATACAACTTAAATAAGTTTTATTTAATTTATGTCAAATAAATAGATTTTATGATGAAATTGGTAAATCCTCAACTTCCAAACAACATCTCATGTCATATGATATGATAATAAAGTATAATAAAGTATTAGATATAATATAATTGTACAAATATATGATGGAAAAGTGACCAAGTAGATGTTTTTCATTAATAAAAATGTTGAATGACTGAACTGTTATCATAGAATGCATATCTTAACATTGGTCTGTACAGTACTTACATATTTTTTCATGGGATAAATATAACTAAAATTATATAAATTCATTCATTTATATAAAGTGAACACAAAATATTGAATAACTGATAAATCGAAGTCTCACAATTTTATTTAATGATGTTTTGATAGTCTATAAGACTTTCCATTGAATTAAACATTTCATGTTTTGATACGATTTCCTGTTGAAATGAATTTGAGATAAGAACAGAGAATATATTTAATAATCAATACTTTGTTTGTAATTTTATTTATAAATATTCGACAAATTTGTTGAACAGTAGGAATAATTATAATTATTCACGAATTTCCAAATACAACCAATATTTTAAATTTAGGAAATTTGACTCAAAGGTTGTTTCGATCAAAATTTATAGTTCACTTTGATTTGAAGGCCAATTATTTTTCAGTTATCATATCAATCCCTACTTTACTTATATGTCTTGTTTTAAATTTCATTCAATTTAATGCTTAGAATATTCGTTGCAAGCATTGACTGAACTAATAATTTAATATTTATATTTTGATGTTATAGCAGAAACACAACTTAATAACAATAACTATAAAATTTATATTTCATATATTGTATTAATATACTGTATAAATCAATTGAACGATCATTGACTATCAAGTGATTGAATATAATTAATCAATCAAATGGTTTCATTCAATTGAATACTTTTTTGAGTCAAATCTCATTACAATCATTACATTTAAAATTATATTAAAATTTCGTTTAAAACATTTAAATAGAGAATTCAATATTAAATAAATATGTTTACAAATATCAGCAGAAAATTGTTAGAAATAAGATTAAAAGGCGGTCGAATGGCCTATAGATTTGAATATGAATAATAAGAGTCACTAGTTATTTGATAGTTATTTGATAGCATTCAAATTAGGCTAAAAGTCATCAATTTATATTAATTTACAAAAATGTCACGTTTTGGTCGGTTATTGTTTTTCTAAAGTGTAAGACCTGTACATGGATTAGACAATATATTAACCGAAATCTGTTTATAATATCATAACATTGATTATATATTTAATTTAATTTTAAATAAACTGTAATTCATGACTCATTTAATAATAATTGCATAAAATTGCAAAAATTGATAACTTATTTAACAATGAATAATATAATGCATAAATACTGCTAATACTCTAAAAATACAACAGAATATATAAAACAAGAAAATTGTTTATATAATAATAATATCAATAATTATGTGTAAATAAAACTTTAAAAACAATTGAAACTTTAAAAATGAGAGATAGAGTGCAATAAAATAAAGCAATTTTGACATAAAATTTCATAGATATGCGGCTCAACCGGACTGTCATTATATAAATAATTAATAAATATATCAATCGATTGCAGCATTGGTTGCGGTCTCGTCTTGAGATGGATATGGCGTACAATTCAGAGATAATCGGAAGCAGACGTATGACAAACAGATGATGACATCAATAGTCAAGACTAGATTCAACCGAAAAATGGCTTCATTTGAAAAACTAATAAACATTTTTTCGTTGCAATTGTCAATTTGTATTTTATATGAAATATTAATATAAGTTATTCTGTAATTCCACTCAATATCACAGAATTGAGAACTTAATAGTTTGCTTTGATTGGTATCCAAACATGAGTTAATAATCATTATATGAGTCCAACAGAATTGCACTTCAATTGTATTCCGAATCGTTTAAATGAATTCATTTAATAAATGCTTTTCTTTATAAAAGTCTTCAAACATGAAAATAGTCTTAATTTTCGAGGCGATAGTCGTCTCAACAATTGAACGGAATATATGTAGAAATTTGCGTCACTTTTCAATATTTAGTAAATTATTATAAACTTTAAATATATTTTATAAGATATAACTTATTATTATATAATTTCCAATGCATTTCCCATGTCTTCTGCACAAATGTTTATCGTTTTTTATCAATGAATCGATGATTAAAATTATATAATATTCTTAAGATCCTCAGAATAAAAGACGTCTTGTTTTTAAAAACAAAATTTCAGTTATTTTTATCATCAAATAAACTGACAGAGAGTTCTCGCAAAATGGGTTTAAGCTCAAAATGACCTGCAATTGAAAAACAATATATATATTAATAGTACATTAATTAATAGTAAATATTAAAATCAATAATCAATCATATAACCACACCTTAATATAGAGGCTAATGTTATTAACAATGAGACAATTATATAGTGACCAGAATTGGGTTCAAATAAATTGCATCAATAGTTAAAATCGCTGAACACTGTGTGGATGTCCGGCAACGGGATAATAGACTGGATAATCGCAATTGAAAAACACTTGAAACATTTTGTATGACATATTGAGTCCTTAAACACTTACACGACAGCGGAACGAATGACTGGTGCATTGCCAGCGCCTGTTGATAGGCGGCTGATCCCGAGGGTTGGTATACGGGAACTCCACTCTTCTCAAGAGCTGGTCTTTTGGACAGTGGAACTACACCCGGAAATGTCTAAATAATATCAAGTATTAGTTTCAGTCATTCAAACATTATTTAGATCTCAATTCAGGCGAAAGCAAAGCAATTCAATGTCTAAACATTTGTGCCTTTCTTTTATTTGTGAGTTATATATAGTATTCGTATTAAAAATAATTATTATTTTTAATACAAATTTCATTGTAGTGCTGTATTTGTTAATTAATTAGTCATGTATAACTGTAATATTAAGCTGTAGTCAACTGGTGTCCAATCATAGTATCCCTTATAAACCTTATCTCACATTTCAATCCATCAATTCGTCTTCAATACAATTAATTATTATCATTATTTATTTAAATAACAATTTTTACTAAACATTTAACTTAAAACTCAGCTAGTAATTTATTTGGGGCGATATGTTATATACTAAATGTATGCTGAAGTTAATGACAATATTTTATATAGAGTAAACAAAAAGACTAAACGCTTTAACATGTGTTGTATCACTCAAACGACTATTTTTTATATCATATTGTAAATGAAATTAGTTTAAAGTGAAATTCAAATTAATTTATCTTAAAACAAAAATTTGGTGCAGGCTATATTACAAACAAGCACCAAATAAATAAATTCTACACTAAAATAGATCGTGATGTTTCAGATTTAACTCAATTAATTAAACCGTGGTATATTGTAATAATACACCAGTATTAAATGTAAATTATAAAATAACAAATATCATATTGTATAAAAATTAAGCCTAAACTTTAAAATTAATGAACAACAAAAAATATACGATTGAATACCTCCACTGCTGTAATAGTTATATAAATATTAAATTCATACAGTACAGTATTACATTTAATAACATAACATAACATATATTTATAAATATAGCGCGTTTGGATCCCTTTGAATAATATACTAGTATAAATAACTGAAAATATGAGAAATGCATATTAATAATAAGATATTAAACATGGAAAGCCGTTTCAGTTGCATAAATTAAAATGAAACCACAAAAATTGAATGGTCAGTGGTGTCCATCATACCAAACAAATGCCGTAATAGGGATTATGTAACCATAAATTGGGAAAATAGTTCAAAAATATCTGTTTTAATAATTGAAATACAGTTGACTGAGAAAACATCGATTGGAAACGTGCTAAAGAACTGGGATGTAAGGGATGTATGCCATGTATGCCATGCATTGTTGACGATTTAAAGGATGGATATATTTTACATTCTTATAAAATAGTTTTAAATAAACAAATTAAATAACAGACACCACCAGATGACTAACAACTCATTAAATTAAATTAATAGTAACTAGCAATCAATTCACTTCTCATTATATCATACATTGTCTCAAGTTTTGACACAAAACTGCGGTGTATTAATAAATGTGGCATACAATACATATCGCAAACATATACAATAGTAAAATGTTTGAAAAATTAATTGTATAACCTTTATAATATGAAGTTTATATTATATATTTTACTTAAGATTTCTAATTCACTTGATATTTAACAATTTATTCTGTGTTTAGAGGGTTAATAAGTAGAAAATAAGGTGATATTAGATGGGAATTGTATTGTCAATAATATCTGTAAATGTAGTGAATATTACTGTATTAGTCCAAGAAGTGAAGAGACCCTGATTAGTTTGAGTGCAACCAATCACTTGTCACTAACAACTAGAACAATATGGACATAGATTTGTACAATGATTGTACACTAACTAATAGTCTAGAACTGAATTACTGTATATAACAAGTGATGAGTTGTGGGGAGTGATGAGAGTAAGAGGAGAATGGATTAAAGTGTGGTATGAATGGGAAGGGGAGGGAAGAGTTGGGCGCAGTTTGAGTCAAACCGTTGACAAGCATTGCAATGACACAATGACACCGATAGAGCAGTGGTCAGGTAGTCTGGTATGCATGCAAAATGAAAGCAAAGCCGTCTGGGGCTGGTATACCATAACAAACTCGTCTGAGGGATCTCGCGATCGTTTCTTTCCAGCCGGTAAGGCAGCCAACGACGGAACAGCCGCTTCGGCCAACACGTGCGATGCGGACGGCTATCAGATTGTTATTTAACGTGAAGTAAATTTGTGGACATCAAGTGGTGTCATATGAATTCATATGAAAAACGTGTCAAAAGGCGGGTTGGGATCAAATTATGAAACAATAATTCCAGAGCGAGTGCATTACAATAGTAGCATAAAAGCAGTCAGAGGTAGTCAAAGGTCACCAAAGGGTCACCAAAGGGTCACCACAGCCAGCATTAAAGCGGCCAAAATATATTCAAAAAGAAATCAAAATTAATTATTATTCATGTTTAAGCGTTTGTTCAAAAGGCATGCATTTATTGCGCGATGTATTACTCTATGAGCTGTTATCATGGATTAAAAGTTATGTATTATTCTAATGATATTATCATATCATGATTATTGCGAGTCGTTTTGAGTATCAATTTGTGTCAGTTTTGGCCAAATCTCGTCTACAGTCTATCACTTCACTCATCACATCGACTCTCTATAGGGGTATTGGGGGTCAGGTATGGTATGAACGGTCATAACCCTACTAGAGAGTTCGTGAGAGTTCGTGATAGGCATAGAATTGGCAGAAATGGCAGAATTGCAACAAATGCATGAATGAATGCATGAGTGGCCGTAGGCGTAGGCATAGGCCATAGCTTCCTACCAGAGCAGCAGAGTTTGGCCTGTTTTGGGCGGCCTTAAGCTGTGCCTGCAGGTGCGGCGGGGGGTGCAAGTATCGGCACTGTTCACGACAACACCGGCCTTTCACGAAATCCATACACACCGTTACGACGCCATCACTCGCGTCCACTTGCAGGTGGTCGGGCGGGTGTGCGAACCGGCACTCAGACTCCGGGCGCTTACAATTGCCTCTTTGGAATTCACGGCAAACCTGAATGTGTTTGAGCGGGTTACAGTGGGTTAGCACAGACACCAATCGGCTATACCTCCAGACGGTCTGTGCGCGTCGTTTTGTGAGAGGCTATCAGAGTAGGAGTAGGAACTACACCATAGTTTGTCGTCAAGTGATCAGCGGCTGACATCAGACCAGGTAAGACAGCAGCGGTAGGATAAGCACCATAAGCAGAAGCTGACGCTACAGCGGGCAGGTTTGCCATATACGCACCGGTACCCTATAGACAACACCAATACATCAACTATCGGTTATACAGTTCTAAGTAACAAGGTTAAACGGGTTATACGACTAATATTAGGACAACAAGTACTGAGAGCCCAGCAATACTAACATTAATTGTGGTTTATTTTGGTCTAAAACCTAAAAGGAGCCTAATTTGCAGCAAATAGTGTCAAATTGTGAGCTATGAGTGCGACACCATTAGGTCTAAGCATACATCCACACCACACACTCCCACATATTCACACCCGACATACCGAACCCAACAAACATATTATCGAGAATCGAGTCATAAAACTAATTTATTTGCCTTTATATGTGACTCTAAATATGCAAAGCTGTGCACATTTTATATGTATATTCTTGTGGTATATGAAAGTCATGTATAACTTTGAGCTCAATATATCCACCATATTATTAAAGTTCTGGTAATAACTTATTTACTTTATTAACATCTCTGACGATCTCCTCTGCTATCATTAATGCAAAATCATTACTATTATAATAGACACACATAAACAGCACTAAAAGCTTTTGAATCATAATATCCGGAATCGAAAATTTCATCAAAACTGTATTCAATAAACTCAATGTAATCGCACCAACGTGTATGTGTATGTGTTTCATGTGAATATATGTTTTCAAATTCTTCAGTTGTATCGCATTAATATTATTAAAACTTTATACATTATTCGCTTATCGTTTATTTATAATTGTATTTTTGGATCTCCCCTTAACTTGAAGTTACTATTCACACCAACTTATTTTATTATAGATAAAAATAAAAATAATTAAATGATATTTCATTACAAAATTACTTACTATTCATCATATACTGTATGTTTTCAAAAGTGAAATGAGAGAGAGAGAGAGAGCAATAATTGGCTAAAATTCAAAATTGTTAAAATTGAAATTCTTTAAAGGAATTTACTTTTGAAATTAAAAAATATTTGTTTTAAAGTTAAAAACAAAATTTAGACTCATGACTTGTAACATAAATGTATATGAAAATAGATATTCTATAGAATATTATTAGTTGCGTTTAAAAAATCCATTAAACTTGTGAGTGTGCTTTCACAATTTAAAACACAAATACATCACTAAAATGGGATAATTGAGTCCCATTTAAGCAGAATACTGTACAGTGAGTATCAGTTTTATAAATGTGTCCAAATGTTTACAATCCTTACAGTTGTATGCAGTTTGAGTTTCAATTAGCTTGAGTCCACTGTACAATATCTTATATGAGCTTGTTTATCATTTAACAAAATATTGAGTGACATTAGATTAATTAAAACTTATCGTATTACAAATAAGTCTGACATATAAGTCAAGAGGTATTATTTTTATTATACAGGTAGAATATACCTTTCAATTGTCATAATTGAGTAATAAATGTAAACACAGATATCAATAATAAAATTTATGTCCCAATCATATCATTTAAATATTTAGACGTTGAATACTATTCTGTATTGAATGACACATAATAAGTAACTGCTATTTTCATCCTTATTTCTAAATATTTTCTTGATAATTTTAATCTAAATTGAAATGAATTTGTATTGCAATAAGAAATAACACAATATTATGAGAAATAACTTTCATATCAATAAAACTTGCAATAAGGACGACTTTAACTTAATCATCCATTTTACAATTAGAAATTATTGCATTGTAAATTGCATAAACAGATGTGTAAAATAGTTACAGCCCCATATAAATATTGTATACTCAATTCCTTAAATCCTTGATCAAATCATTAGATTAATGTTAGTTTGATTTTTATCAATTACTTACACCAGTTGTTTATATCAGTTATTTTGGGGGTTAAAATACTTCTTATTAATTACAAAATATTCAATATAAAACCAAAAATACAAAAAAAACTAAATGGGTTTCATCGAAATGCTAAATCTTATAATGTTGTAATGAAACAAAAATATACAACTTGCAATAGTCTATGTTTGCATAAACTATATTTCACTCTAACTGTATTATCTAAAAATAAACAAAAGATACGATAAATTTAAAGCCGTAGAAACCTTAGACAATGGTGTGAATGGATTATAGGATTGTAAGCTTAAAATAGATCAAAACAAAAGGATTATCAACACATGTCTTAACACTATTACAGCAATCATACAAATACCGGTACTAATACAGTACTGTATAATCTAGTAAAATGTACAAAACTATATTAGTAAAATGCTAAACTAAACCACATATAAACCATGTATATCAACATGTAAGTACTGTAATAGTAAGAAATAAAAATATTTAAATTTAATATTAAAAATGTAGACATTTTTGTGTAAATTCCTTAATAAGAACTAAAACATTATAACATGTCAAATAAGACATGAAAAGAGTTTATCTGAAATGGTTTTGTGAGTAAAAATAACTGTTGAGTAAATGTCTTAAATGAATAGATAACGTCGGAATTGAGATCAACTAAATTATAGCAAATATTAAATATTGGAGTTACATCAATTGGATTGCTAACAAAAAAGCATTACAGGCTCTAATAGACAGAGATTTATGATTTGATAATGTCTCATATAATATGATATTATATGTCAGATATGTTATCGAATTACAAATTATAAAACTCTCTAATAAATGTGTTTTACGGCTGACTATAATCTTAATTAATAAGACATTAAATAATTTAAAAATAAAACCCAAAGTGACAACAAATATATAATGCGTTATATTTAATCAAAATGTTAATTGTTTTTTTGGAAACTTTTCAATTATAATTAAATTTCATTTAACTTTTAATATATAGCATTTGCAAATTAAAGCACTATTTAAAGACTAGTCTAAGTTATGACAAATAACTTATGTTACATTTGAAAAAATATTAATTAATTCAGTTGTATAATTAACAAAATAATTATGAAATCAATCATACTGTAATCCAACNTTGCTGTAATAGTGTTAAGACATGTGTTGATAATCCTTTTGTTTTGATCTATTTTAAGCTTACAATCCTATAATCCATTCACACCATTGTCTAAGGTTTCTACGGCTTTAAATTTATCGTATCTTTTGTTTATTTTTAGATAATACAGTTAGAGTGAAATATAGTTTATGCAAACATAGACTATTGCAAGTTGTATATTTTTGTTTCATTACAACATTTCGATGAAACCCATTTAGTTTTTTTTGTATTTTTGGTTTTATACTGAATATTTTGTAATTAATAAGAAGTATTTTACACCCAAAATAGCTGATATAAACAACTGGTGTAAGTAATTGATAAAAAGATATTCATTTACATTACCAGTTGTAAGAATTGAGTTTGGTACCATAACCATAGTTTTACATGTGATTTTGCAGTATATTAAATGAGTTAAATCAAAATAACATTAATCTAATGATTTGATCAAGGATTTAAGAAATTGAGTATACAATATTTATATGGGGTTATAACTATTTTACACATCTGTTTATGCAATTTACAATGCAATTAACTTTTAATTGTAAAATGGTTGATTAAGTTAAAGTCGTCCTTATTGCAAGTTTTATTGATATGAAAGTTATTTCCCATAATATTGTTATTTCTTATTACAATACAAATTCATTTTAATTTAGATTAAAATTGCCAAGAAAATATTTAGAAATAAGGATGAAAAATATCAGTTATTATGTGTCATTCAATACAGAATAGCATTCAACGTCTAAATATTTAAATGATATGATATGATTAGGACATAAATTTTATTATTCATATCTGTGTTTACATTTATTACTCAATTATGACAATTGAAAGGTATATTCTACCTGTATAATAAAATTAATACCTCTCGACTTATATGTCAGACTTATTTGTAATACGATAAGTTTTAATTAATCTAATGTCACTCAATATTTTGTTAAATGATAAACAAGCTCATATAAGATATTGTACAGTAGACTCAAGCTAATTGAAACTCAAACTGCATACAACTGTAAGGATTGTAAACATTTGGACACATTTATAAAACTGATACTCACTGTACAGTATTCTGCTTAAATGGGACTCAATTATCCCATTTTAGTATCTAACTGTAAGGTAAGTTATGCTTTGCATTCATTCATCTACTAATGCTTTCAATTGAATTCAATGGCATTTGTTGAGCGGTTGCACGAACTCACTGCCGACCCGTCACTGCCATTGCCTGCGACCGGCGCTCAAAACAATTACCTTTTCTTCCATACAGTTCTCAATAGAGATGTATGAATGCGAACACGTGTTGTGTTGCCCTCAAAGCCTTCCCTTATTCTTCTGCTCTCATGTGTGTCTGTCGTTCCCCTCTCATAACAGTTCTCGCATTTAACGCTCAATTGACTCCCAATTCAGTCTTTGTATTGCATTCTAATTGATTGTATTCATAACTCCTCAAACTTACCATTGTATTCATGTGCTATACATCAGCTCTCTCTCTCTCTCTCTCTCTCTCTCTCCATCCGCCCCTCTTTTTGTGTGTTATATCTATAAGAAAGTTGAGACCAAATCTATAAATAGAGGATCGTTTAGTACAAGTGATAGATTATAAATGCGACAAAAAGTGAGACGTTATACTGATGTTAGGCTTATAGTGTATAAAAATATCAGATCTGAAAATGACATCAAAACAAGTTTACAATAAATGCATTAAAATATAACTTACAAGTTAGTTTTTATTATATAAACTATTTATGTCACACTTTCGCCTTTTATTATGTAATGTGACATAAATTAACTGTCATTTAATTTCAAAATTGTTAAAGAATTATGAATTCTGTATTTAATTATTATTACTTTTACAATGAATTACATTTTAAAATTATATAATTTTGATTAAAAAATAAGACATTTTAAATTTGATACTAACTTTAAGTTGATTTTATTAATGGCAATATTTTTTTTAATATTCGCGAGTTAACATTAAAATTGTCATAAATTTCATTCCTTTGTAAGATGACTATATTTCATGTAATTGTTATGATATATTCATTTACAAGTATTTTTCTTTTGAATAATGTTTGTTAGAATTTATTAAATAAATAAATAAAGGAAATATTGAGGAAATATAACACTTTCCTAATTTTGGTTATATAGTAAATATTAAATTCTATACAACATTATAACACTATTTTACTATATATTGAGATGAGTTTTCTTTTAAATGTTTTCATGGGATTATCAAATTTATAAGAATTCATTATAAATGAAAATATACATTAAATTAAGTTGATTATAGTTACAACTGAAACCTTGCAATATCTCGCCATAAAACCAAAGAATTGTTTTTTATATGAAAGCAAATATTTATGTTTCAAGTGTTTGTGCCTAACATCTGCTACTTATGAATCAGTTTTTCTCCAAATAACAGGAATTGGTCTCAATTTTCCTTAAACTTTGTATTTCATTAACAAAGCCTTAGTTATTGTTTGGCTATCGTTAATAACAGAAAGCATTTGAAATGATTTTTAATAAAATATTTATAAAA